AAAAAAATCGAAATCGAAGTCTCTGATGAATCTCTAACACATTTGTAACAATACCCATAAACTTAAATCTGCCAAAACCACCCCACAGTAACCGAAATTTGACAAACCCTAAACCCTAACTCTAAAAATCTCAAGTGAAATTTTACTTTTCAGTCGCATAACAACAATACAGAACCCGAACAAGCCTGAAATCTCTGAAATCAAATATATTTCAAAGCCAACCCACAAACCCTAGAAACTCAAATGGAGTTTCTTACCTGTTACCTTTGCTTCACTTGATAAAAATAACGCATAAACCAAACGAGATAGAACAGATGCGAGATTTACTCGAAATCTGTTGAAAAATCTGGAGAGAAAGCCCCTACAAATGGAAACTCTTACCCTCTCTCTATCGCTCTCGCGTTCTTCTGCTATCACCCAGAATAAATACAATTTTGTGTAAATTATAAGCTTGTTTTATCTGACGTGGCAAGTATATCCTACGTGGATTAGGATCAGCAACTCCGTTTATGCCATGTCACTAGTTCCGTTTCAGCCGTCACAACGTTCACGGCGCGGGAGTTTTTTAGTTAATAAATTGTAAGTACAGGGTTTAATTGGTTATCAGGATAGAGTACAAGGTTTAATTGGTTATCAGTATCGGGAATTGCATTAGCGCCCTCGACGAGATGGAAAACGTGGACGAAGGCATCTACTTCTCGGCGTTGGATCTTTTCGAGAGCCCTTGTCTAAGAGAGATTTTTCTATCTTTGAAGGGAAACAAGATAAGGTTGATATGGTTACAAGGGAAGTGCAGGACACCTTCCCTTCCTACTCCATGTTAGGGTTATGTCCGATTATCCAAACCCATAGTATCATTTTTTTTAATAATTAATATATATATATATATATATGTATGTATGTATGTATGTATCATGGCTCTCACATAAACCGTAGGAAAGGTGGCCTTTCGGATATAATTAGGGGAAATCGCCATAAAAACCCTGTACTTTTCCCAGGTTAACGAAAAAACCCTGTACTTTTTTCCTTACCAAATAAACCCTGTACTCTATCCTGATAACCAATTAAACCCTGTACTTACAATTTATTAACTAAAAAACTCCCGCGCCGTGAACGTTGTGACGGCTGAAACGAAACTAGTGACATGGCATAAACGGAGTTGCTGATCCTAATCCACGTAGGATTTACTTGCCACGTCAGATAAAACAAGCTTATAATTTACACAAAATTGTATTTATTCTGGGTGATAGCAGAAGAACGCGAGAGCGATAGAGAGAGGGTAAGAGTTTCCATTTGTAGGGGCTTTCTCTCCAGATTTTTCAACAGATTTCGAGTAAATCTCGCATCTGTTCTATCTCGTTTGGTTTATGCGTTATTTTTATCAAGTGAAGCAAAGGTAACAGGTAAGAAACTCCATTTGAGTTTCTAGGGTTTGTGGGTTGGCTTTGAAATATATTTGATTTCAGAGATTTCAGGCTTGTTCGGGTTCTGTATTGTTGTTATGCTACTGAAAAGTAAAATTTCACTTGAGATTTTTAGAGTTAGGGTTTAGGGTTTGTCAAATTTCGGTTACCGTGGGGTGGTTTTGGCAGATTTAAGTTTATGGGTATTGTTACAAATGTGTTAGAGATTCATCAGAGACTTCGATTTCGATTTTTTTTACTAAAAATACAGTACGTGTTTATGTTGCAGGTTGAAAATAGAAGATGAGTTATGCAACAGAGTCTTCACTTTCGAATGCTCGACCAACTCGACGGAACAATGGAATTTTACAATTTCGGTGTGAATGCGGACTACCTATATCAAGAAAGACATCGAGAACAGACAAAAATCCTGGAAGAATTTTCTTTTCTTGTGACTCGCAAGAGGTATGTAATTTGTACATATTTTTTTTTTCTTCAGAAAATGACATTGGTTTCTTATGTTTGTGTTGTTTTATGTTTCAGAGAAATGGTTCTCATTTTTTCAAATGGCTTGACGATGCGATAATTGAAGAGTTGGATGGTTTCCGTGATGAGTTACATGAAGTGAAGATGGAAAAGATGATGGATGTTAAGATGGAGAAGATGATGGAGAAGATGATGGATGTTAAGATGGAGAAGATGATGGAGAAGATGATGGATGTTAAGATGGAGAAGATGATGGAGAAGATGATGGATGTTAAGATGGAGAAGATGATGGAGAAGATGATGGATGTTAAGATGGAGAAGATGATGGAGAAGATGA